GTGCTTTCCACAGTTCCAACAACTTTTCTGGATACCAGCCTTTCCTGCTGTATCGTCTCCCCTGTGTTGAAGTTTCCAGCATTGAGCTCTCTTGTGCCCAGGTTTGTTACAATGCCAGCAAAGTCCCTCAAACTTCTCTGAAAGCTCACCTTTTCTGGCCTTGAATCCAGATGACTGTACCAACCTCGGTACCTCTATGCTGGACTTAATGTAGGATTCAAATTCAAGAGCTCTGGCCATTGCATCCTGCATGGTAGAGGGGTGTGCTTGCTTCACTTGTATCTTAAGTTCTGGACTGTCCGAGGCATCTACGAACTGATCCCTCAGCTACAACTTGAGGAGATCGGGTGGTGCAGTTGGGTAGGCCTTGTGTGCCATGCTTTCCAAGTCCTGTGCCAGCTCTTGCAGGCTCTCCCCTTTAGCTCTCCCTGCATTTCAGTCACCTTACTACTTCAAATCACTTTCCACAGCCCCAACGCTAAAAGAATGCGGGAATGCTTTCTTTTTAGCCAATAAACATGTCCAAAAGTTACAATTTTCCTAAATGAAAATGTATTTCCGATAGGTACTTCTCTCCTTTCACAAGATCAACTTTTTTCGTTTTGTGTTGCTCTCTATAAACGACCAGTAAGAGGATAGCAGAGGACACCCCCAAAATGAGAGAAACAGATCACATGATCTGAGGAGGGGCACCACACTACATCTGATCCAGGTATCTCGACATGATCAGTAGGACCAGACATGGCCGAACATTAAAGGGAACACATCCTCGTGGAAGAGGATAGTTTAGCAATGTGATCTTAAACAGAAATCAGAATCACTCAATCCCACAATGGAAAGTGGGCAAGTGAGGATGTGTCATACGGTGTAGAGTGAATAGGGTGCAACGGACTGTACTTGGTCTGTCAACTACGTCCAAAGCCTCACTTGCTGGGTACCGAAATCCTCGCGAGGGAAGGATGAGGATCATACCATTTTCACTTCAAGTCTCAGAGTCAAGAGAGAACCTAACATTCGACTCCAAAAACTCTCAGGGTAGCCTAATACCAGGGATCCGGGAATATGTCAACCAGATTCTGAGAGAAGTTCATTGCATGCATTTACCCTGAAACGACTCAAGATTGGTAACAACCTCATCACCCAACGAGGGAAACCTTGGACAGAAGTGAAAATAGGCCATGTAGACCTTCTGCAACCCACAACACAGAAGACAACTCGTGAGGGGAAGATGGACAACCCAAAACCTGTGTGAGGACTTATGTGATTGGTTCACTTGATCTCCAAAACCTGACTTGCTGAGTACCGACATCCACTCGAGAGTAAGAGGAGGGCACCCAATCGTAGGTGTGAGCTGCATTTGGGCGTCTCAACGCCGGAAAATAATCACTCATCCAGAGGATCTTGCAGCTCCCTCTACACCAGCAGAACACCACCACCCTACTCTGAACTGAAGTGTTATAGTCATCTTTGTGGAATCCACCCAGCTACTTGCCTCCATGGTCAACTACCCCAGTGGCTTGGAATTAGTAAGTGGTAAGGACTCCTGTACTCCGCCGGAAGAAAGGGGGAAATGCAGTGGAGAGTCTGGAGGAACTGCAACACCCGAGACAATGCAATGGGTGATCACGAAACCCTATTTTGAAAAGCAGACCACACTGATTTATTCAATCTAGGCATGGTAGGGATGGCCAGCAATTCCCTTCTGCTTTACCCATGCCATCCATGAGTGGTATGGTGCAGAATGGGCACATTATAATGCAATTATCATAAGGAATTTACACACTAGTGATCTTGTGAAACACCCCATCTCAAGGGTGAGCACATATAGCCATGGAAAATGTATAAGAATCAGTATGGATTTGATAACAAGATGTCTGTGAATGGTTTTAGTCATCTAAGTGGAACTCATTCTGAGTACAGATAGAATACCTGGTCAGGCACCACTCACCACAGAGCGGGATTCAAAGTGAAGCTGAAGTAGGGGCCCTTGAGAGTCAATAAAGCATTACTGAGGGCTTACCTCATGTCACAGCCGTGCCAAAGTCTATAGAATAGCCACAGGCAGCAGGCGATGCCCAGAGGAAGCAGAAACAACTATGTAGTATAGGTAGTGGGAGATGAACGTGTACAGAGTCATCTACATGTCCGATCCTAGAATATCTCCAATGGCCGACAAAAACAAG